AGGCATTTAAAAATATTAATTGTTGGTAAAAGATATGAGGCACAATGGTGACTTCTAGAAACAGGTTGATTTCCTCTTGATGTTGATTGGCCTGTCAGATCCAATATAGCTGCAACGGTGATCATCATAAGGGATGATGAAGGCAATTAAATTAAGTGATTTTCTAAATACTTGGCTACTAATCTAGCATCGTGATTGAATTCTTGAACATTTTAAAAAGTCTTCAGCTTTGTTGGAACATGAGATTTACTAAAATTAATATCCATTGATATTCCATTAAAACTCTTTCACTTATTTATCACAATATCTTTGATAATCATCCTTTATTAGAAACTATCAAGAAAGTCTGACATTTCATCATGAAAGATTGAATGACACTCTCAATCACATATTCAAGGAAGTGAATATATGCGCTAACATATTTGCCTGCCTGGCCCCTCAAGAGAATTTAGATATTATTATATTTAATCATCTGCCTTCAGATTGCAGATCCTATATGAAATCTAATATAACTTGATTTTTATATTTCTTCCACAGTTTTTTTGTGGTTTTGTATTAAAAAATATTAATTATTATTTGTAAATCTAGATCTTAAAAATAGTCTTTTAAATCATCCTTAAAATAAAAATCGTCTTTTGCATCAAAATTTTATAAGAATTGTCTTGTAACAAGAAACGCCATATATAATGTATGTATGTATGTATGTATGTTTTTGGAGCTAACCTATGAAATTGCGTGACTTACGGTAGAATTAGAATCTGGCATTCTCACATCACATGCTAGGGTTAGAATGTCACTGCCATGTTAAGGCAAAAAGTTCCAAAAAAAAAAAAAAGCAAAATGAAAGAAATTGTTGCACTGACGTCTACAATGACGTCATCGATGACGATACAATGACTTTTTATTTTATATTTTATTTTTTTGCCAACTCAAATTTCAAAATTCGGAGGCAGTGATTAAATGATTTTGCAGAGACCACAAAAATATAATAACAGTTAACTTTTTAATAAACCTTTTAAAATATAATTTATAAATATTTATAAACTTAAGAGTTTCAATTATAAAAAATAATTAAATTATAAATTTAATTCTCAATTCACAACTATTTAAATTAATATTTATAATTTATATTTTAAAAACTTTTGCCAATACTTGACTGTCATAAGTATCTTCTAAAACTTTAAAGGTGACTTATATGAGTTTTTTTCTAATTAAAAATTCATTTTATCTTTTGAAAATGAAAAAATATATCATATTTCCCAAGATTCCTATTTTTTTAAAATTTATAATAAAATATTTGAAAATCAAATTATTTTGAAGATTCAGAAGGTTCATGAATTAATTGATGAAAGTTCCTCTAATTATTTCTTTTAAACAGGTGCCGCCAAAGCTTTTTTTCTTCATCCGCATTGTTTCTTAGCTCGGAATGAACTCATATGCAAGAATTATCATATAAAAAATTATTAACTCAAACTTCTTTAATCTATTGTAAATTTTTTTTTAAATGTGAAACAAATCGTTGTCAATTTCATTTCATTTAAGATAACTGTAGATTAGATTAGATGCGTTGAATAATTTGAGATAAATATCAAATCATAGTAAATTTTATATATAACCTTTTTTTTAACTGTTTCTAGCTTCTGGACTACTTGGCGTAAATGTGATGGTAACGTAATTAAATTAGACAAGCTTATGAGATTGGGTTAACGTACAACTTGATCACTAAATTACAAGTTTAAAGGTGATTTAAATTTTAAACTTTTAAAAAACACATTCCAAATTCTAAACAATTAAAATTGAAGTAATTTTGCCATCACCATTAAATTTGAACAACCATCCATTAGTTTTTTAAAAATTAGGGTCTAATGTGCTATTTTCATTAAATTTCACCACCCCCTCTCTCCTACTTTCATTTGACGAAAATCACAAATTAGATCTTAATTTTTAAAAAATTGACGAACGTTTATTTAAATTTAATAGGGAGATCGAATTATTTTAATTTTAATTGTTTAGTGAAATGTACCTTTTAAAAAGTTTAGAGTTCAAATTATCATTAGACTTATAATTTAAAATTTAAATTATATATTAACCCTATGGGTTTTGTCGGAATACACTAACTTCTTGAATTATGATTTTAAATATTTGATCAAAAAAATTATAATTTTAAACAATGTAAAAAATCCTGATTTAATTTATACTACAACATTGCAATCTCTAGGCCTCTATTTAAGCAATGTAAAAAGTAGTAGTACAAAAGTTAACTCTTTTCCTCCCCCTCAAAGTAATACACAGGCGATAGTTATGAAATTAATGCTTTAAAAAATTTAAGTATTATTTAAAAGGTTGTCATATTTTAAATGATGCTTTTCATAGTTTTAAACAATATAAAAAAGCTAATTATATTGTAGTGGAAGAACATTAATGAATGTATTTTTTTTATTTGACACAAATTAAATATTTATATATTAAAGGTAATCATATTCGAGACACAGTTGATTATTAAATATGGACAGATTTTTCAACATGAATAAATGTTCATTAATTTAAATGAAATTGTGCATTATAAAAAAATTCAAATAAAAAAGTAATTTCGATTATGTGTTATGTAAATAATGTGAGTACATTGTAATTATATATCTATCATTTTTTAATATGTCTATATTTGAAGTTCAATAAAAGAAAATCTTTTTTCTTGATACGTCAAAGATCATCAATGATATATAAATATATGAAGGGCTCATAAGTCATATCTGATCTAGAAGAAAAAGTAATAATTTGAGAAATTTTGAAAGAAAAACGTGTGAAGCACATGGTAACGATATCTATTAGTTTAACTATTAGTGGTTGGTTCTAATACAACTCTAACTGACCTACAATATATATATATACATGTAGAGCATAAACTATGTATTACCGTTTAAAAGTAAAATGTCAATTTCAACCGTGGTTGAATTAAGTAGAGAAATTTGATTTTTAAGTAAAGTTGATTTTTTTAAAAAAAATTGCACTGAAAGAGCTATATCTTTTAGCTTTAAGGAGAATGATATTCAAAAATCTAACGAGAAACTTATTTGTAAATAAAAATTAATAACAAATTCTATTTGAAAAATACAAGTTTATATAATTATTTTAACAACAATCTACTGTATTAATCACTATTTGAAAACATGTTTCTTACCTAGTTTTTGAATGTGATTCACTCTATCTTGCCAGGTTCAACAATATTTGAATATAATATCATAAATTATATTTATATTTATACCCAGATGGTTTCTACCAAAAAAAAAAAGATCCAGATGTCAGCCTAAAAAAATTTAATAGTTTAAAGATTTGAAGAATTTTTGGATTGAACAACACGGCACTACAATATAATTTGGAAACTTACGATCATTCCCTTCTAGATTATGAGCAAGAAATATTGAATATTTACCCAGAATTATTGTTTTATACGTCTGAATAAGATTTTAGCCTTTAGACTATATATATATATATATATATATATATATATCCAGATGGTTTCTGCCAAAAAAAAGAGATCCAGATGTCAGCCTAAAAAAAATTAATAGTTTAAAGATTTGAAGAATTTTTGGATTGAACAACACGGCACTGCAATATAATTTGGAAACTTACGATCATTCCCTTCTAGATTATGAGCAAGAAATATTGAATATTTAGCTAGAATTATTGTTTTATACGTCTGAATAAAATTTTAGCCATTAGACTATATATATTCTCTTTGACTATGTACTGACATCATTCGCCATATTAGTTAATTATTATATTTAGCTTCGGCTTGCCATCACATGATGAGTCAATGTTCTTCATTATTTCGTTAATTAGTATTTTTTAAGTTATTTATTTAAGGGTAGAATATTTATGCCTTCAAAAACTTTTTACATAGGGTTAGCAGATTTCATGAACTTGATTTTGGATCATTTTTACTTTTAAACTCTTAAATTCAAAACTCTATTATCCTAACATTCATGCGTTATTTGTTGACTATCATCTGTTAAGATGGACACATGATTTTTTTGGGCCACATGACATCTAAGTAAAATACCCAATCAAAATTAAGTGAATAGGGTAGCTTTTATTTTGAAGCTTCGATTAGAGACATTTAGTGTTTTGAAATCTTTTTTTTTTTTGTTTGTCATTGTTCTCTTAAACTTTAAAAAACCTAACAAAAAATGTTTTGAAACACATTCACTTAGATGCCAAGTGATAAAACAAAAAATTAATAAAACATATCCATCTAAGTAAATAATGGTCAACAAGCGGGGTGGCAAGACAACAAGGAATCTAATTTTAATAATTTAAGAACAAAAATGATCTAAAATCAAGTTTAAGACACTTATAGATCATTCAAAGTGAAAAATTTAAGAACAAAAATAACCCATAACTCTTTATTCAATTACAGTCACCTCAGGAATTTTGCAGTTTTAGGGAAAAATCTGGTGTTAACTACATTTTATCAAATAAAAAAAAAACAAAACCACTCTATTTGATAAATATATCATAAATATATAGATACAGGTATTAATATCAATACTCACTTAAATTTTCATATCCAACCAAAATATTTTGTGAATTATAATTGATAATAGTTTGTGGAAAATATTATGGAAAAAGTTTTGAAAAATGGATTTGATTAATTATTTGAGATGATATAATTTTTTATCCTTCAATTTTACCTGTACTATCAATTTAGCCCCTAAAATATAATATTTAATTATCAATTAATAACTATATACACAATTAGACCTTATAATAGTTTGAACGGAAAATAACACGATAAGGGCTAATTGTGTGCCATCATAAAAATTTAATAAAATAATTGATGACGATTAAATTTTATAAATCAAATCGATAATTGAAAAAAATTTGAGGAATTATAAAAATTTTGTTGTCCTAAGAATTTTTTTCTTTCAATTTTGAGGAAAGCAACTATTTCTATGATAACCAAACCCAATTGAACAAATCCACGGTGATCTAACATCAACTAATCAACTTTATAATATTATATTATTATATACTTAAAAATGAACAAATTTACATTGTCACCAAAATATCACCAAAAATTAAAAACAAACTAGAAAAGTCACCTAATCTGACGGCCGGTGATCCAACATCAACAAATTAACTGGATAATCAATCGCTATAAGCTGAGATTTCAAACGAAGTTGAGAAAATCCAAATCATTCTCCGAAGGTGTCAAGTTCAGATCCAAAAGCAAAACTCTTTTTCTATTTCCCTCATAACTATGAACCTGATGATCAGAATCAAGACAACTACCATCATCACTACTGCTACTCAACGTCGTCGTTTTGTTCTGAGTATTATTATCATCATTCTTCAAAGTTGTTGCAGCAGCTCTGTGCCTTCTCATGTGACCCCCTAAAGCTTGCCCTATTGCAAACTCCACTCCACAGATGGAGCACTCATGAGTTTTAGGCTTAATTACACCATGAAGCTCGTTCATCTCATCGCCGGCCGCCGGCCGCGGCTTCTTGTGGCTCGCCCGGTGGCCGCCCAGCGCCTGAAACGACGGGAACTGCCGGTTACATGTCTTGCACTCGAACACGCGGTGGCTATTGTTGCCGTGTGAGGCGGCGGCGATGATCGGCTGGTCAAATTGGCATCCACGAGAAAGCAACATCAAACAGTTGGCCATGGCGATGCTATGATCAAGGACCTGATTATCTCTCTCCCTCTTCATGTTGAGAAACAAATTCCAGAAACCGAAATATATATTATATATATATATATATATATATTGATGAAGTAGTGTCGATTTGAAGGTATGTGGATGGGGCTATAAGTTAAGCAAGTTTGTGTGTGTGGGAGGGAAATAATGAAGTCTGAGACTTAAGAAAGGTTTGGTATATTTATAAGAGGCGGTTAGGGTTGGAATTTTCCCTGGTGGACACATATTCTACGCGTCATAGTTAAGTTCAATCAATACATATCAACAAATTGAAAATTAATTAATTATTACTTGTGTGCTAGAAGCTTTTATATATATGCGCGGCTTTAAATGCATGACTATAAATTCAACATATATATATATATATATATATTATTTTATTTTATTAATTTCTTTTAGGATCGTTTTCTAGAAAATTATAAATTATAGTTTCTTAATAAATCATTCAAATTCATGAAAGCCAATAAAAAATTCTCTTGTTGATTTATTAATTTTAATTTCAACAAGCGCTTCATTTTTGTCAGATTAATTAGAAAGATAAACGAGGCCGTTTGATGGTACTTATTATATAATTAGTATTAATAAAATTAATTGAATATTTTAATCAAAAACCAACATGAATTGAGCTTAGAAGAATGAGTTAGTTCATCAATCCTCACAATGTGACAAATCAAAACTCAAATCTTTACATTAAAAAATGCTTATATTTAATGCATAACCTTTTCTTAAATAAGCTTGCCTCCATTGTAAAAATTTAAAAAAATTGTTAAATTTACATGTTTTTTATTCGTTAAACATAGTTTTATAGTCCCCCACTATAATGTAGTTTTGCATTTTGGTCCCCCCCATAAAGTTTGTTCTAGGTGCGTCCCTAGAACCTGGTGAGTGTTTTTGTTAGCTTGAATGAGGACTAGGATACACTTGTAAAAGTTGATAAGTACAACTACTTTTGACTACGATTTTTGTAAAGAAAATAGATATACGAATTGGCTTGTTCGTCAAATGTTCTTGTCACTGCAATTTTTGTAGAATTGGATGTAAGAATTTTATATGTTCTTATGTGAACTACTAATTATTACCCTGGCGGTTTTCGTGACCCTATATTTAAAAATAAAAAAAAGAGTTGACAAATACAAAAGGAAAAAGCCAAATTGTCAAAGACTTGGAAGGATATACATGTGTTTCTTGAAAAGTAAGGAAGCCAGAGTAGTGGGCGCTAAGCTAATTAATCAAAGTAGCCAGAGTACGTTGCACACTTGCTAATAGCTTCTACTGACTTATCGATGATGGTTAGGCTTAGTTTGGATTCGTTGAACAATCGCAATTCAGCAGCAGCAGCACGTAAGCATGACGACGTGGATGACCCAAACAGGGCAGAACGAATTAGTCACCATGTTCAGACTCTACTATAGTGGCGTGGTAGCTCGGGTTACTTACTTACCAGCCGTTCCTTAATTAACCGTTCAATGCTGACTACTAAAGAATAGAAGGTTCTAATTAATGACAACATCATTTAATAATTAGGAAGAATTACATTCAAAAGACCACTCAATGAACTTATTCACAGACAAATATTAATAACAAGTCTTATTCAAAAAAATAAATAAATTCATATTTTTATTTTAATAAGAATTCATTTTGTACGAGTTTTTATCTGCCAATAAGTTTTTAAAGTGGTTCTTGAAAGTGATTTTTCTAAATAATTAATATTAATTCATTATGGTTTTTTATTTCAACTCCTGATATCAATCCTAATACATTTGACATTTTTATTTAATATAACTACATATTCCAGAATTTGAATTTGAGATTTCAAGATAAGCTGAAGCATGGCGCGATGATGATGATGTGGTGATAAGGATAGAAATGAAGAAGGTGAGATGGAAGCTACTTGGGTGTGGTCACGCAGACTTCTTTGTCACGTTCCATTCATCTACGTAATTTTCAAGCTTCTAGTTCGTGGCTCCAATTTTGGATACAGTTTTTTTCACATCCACTTAATTATATTATTTATGTTCAATTCAAACTTCAAACCGACTTCCTACGATCTATTCACAGGATTTATTCACTTCGGATGACTGGGCCAGCTAGGAAAGATTTTTTTTTAAAAAAAAATCATTCTAAGCCCTCAGGCTCCATATAAAAATTTAAATATAGAAAAAATATCTTGAAATTATTTCTCGGTTCTTCATTAAAATTTTCATTTTCTATATCAAAATCAACAATTACTGATGGATTAGGATAATTGTTAGTGAAGATGTTTACTTGACAATTAAAGCTAAGTACTTCATCCATATCAATTTATAGGAATTTTTTAAAATATAAGACACTTTGACAAAAATAAAATTTTATTAATTTACACTTGTTCTAATATTACCCTGCCCTTCTTATTATATTTTCTCTTCATCTTTGTTTAATATTTTACAAATAAGGTTATATTAAATGAATGATATTTTTAACAATTTATATTAGTGTTTTGAAAAAAAAAGATTGTAAAGTATATTTAATAATTTTTTTATATGCATAATTTTGTTAAAAATATATATTATAACTTGGGATGGAGGGAGTAACAATAATTAGCAACTATATTCAATAATAATTAATAGCTTCAATAAAGAATATAAGAATACTTCAGAATAATTTTATGATTTCATAGAATTTTTGTTTATATTTAGATTGCTTGTGTGAAATGTGAGAGTAATTTTTTTTTCCAAAAAAAAAAAAGAATTAGGCGAAGAATTAAGGCGTGATGTTGTTCTCTATTCTCAGTCTAGTATATATTTTATTTTATTATCATGCAGACTTTTAAAGATTTCAAATTTTGGACTGTGTTTAAAATTTTAAATTAATTTAATAACTTAATATTACCATTTAAATTCTCAACATTCATAATTTCAAAATTGTGAGCTTTGATCCCAGATTTATTTTCTAAGAAAATATATTTTACATGAAGGTTACTATAATTTTTATTAATAATTAAAACAATTTTTTAATTCTTTTGACATTTTTGGATGCGCCCTTATCAAGCACTTGGTCAACATTGTAGTAGGTGTTTTGAGTTGGACGCCAAGTTGAGTTGACAGTCTAATTTGACCAACGTTTTTAAAAGTTTGGAAACGTAACTATGTAAATAATTAATTCATTTGCAAATATAAACTCGATTTTTGTACTATCGTACTCCCTCTAACCCTCTATTCAAAAATATAATATATTTTTAATTAAATCTCACTCTTAATAAAGTAATTACTTATCTTTAAATTAACAGTATATTTTTATATTTATTTCTATTTAATATGATATTTCACTCTAAAATTAATATAAAGTGAATTATTCAATAGGGACACTCTAAAAAAAAAGGATAACGATTACCTCTTGAAAAACTAAAACCGCTTTATATTTTTTAACATCTAATTTTTTAAAAAATGTCTTACATTTTTAAACAAAATGAGCATTATTTTTGCATGTTCAGGACTAAAACAAAGTCAACTTAAGGAAATTATGTTAGTACCAAACTAACCACACAACTTTTGAATAAGGACAAGCAAATGGACAAATTAAAAATTAAAGTATAATTAATTAGCCAATCAAACATAATGTGCATTTAGATTAAAATTCGTAAAATTGAAGTTTTCATAAAACTAAAGTTTGCAAATTGAATTTAAGGTTAAAAGTCAGTCACTATAACATAATTTATTTTTGAATACCTTTTTAAAGGAAAAATAATCATTGACTCATTATAGTTTTGGTTTAGTTGTAACTCATTACCTAAATTTTAACTAGTTATAATTTAATCCTTATAGTGTTAACTTAATTGTAATTTAATTTTTGAACTTTGATTTTTGCAACTCAATTTTTATAATTTTAACTATTTAAAATATTGATCCTATATTTTTAAAAAATAAAGTTATAAAGATTAATATTATTTTAAAATTTTAATCTTTATAAATATTAAAAGAATTCAGGCATTTAAAATATTAGTCCTAAATTTATATTGTTATTTTTTCAAGCGTGAGGAACAATATTTTAAATAGTTAAAACTGTGGTAGAGCCAGAACCTAGAGTTAAGGGGTATAGGATAATTTAATAAAAATCAATAAATATTTTTAAATAATAATTACATTAAGATTAAAATTATAATAATATGAACAGATTAATCATCATTTTTTTTAAAAAAATTGTATTGAACAAGTTTGTGTGATCTTTTGTTGTAAATATATTCTCCATATTTTATCTAAGTTATTAAAATATTATTTATTTAATAAGCTTTTGAGCCTACATATTTTTTATTTAATTTAAAAGGTACAAAATATCAAAAATATGGGTGCAAAATTATAAAATTTACACACACACCCTACTTGTAATTTTTTCTAAAGTAAGAGGATACATTTATACATTCTTAATTTAATGTAGCTTTGACAATGTGTAAGGGTTAAAGTTTAAAAACTGAGTTAAAAACTAGTCAAAATTATAATGACCACCAAAGTATAAGGATAAAATAATTAATTTCTTTAAAAAAAATATGTCAGTTTAACATGATTTATATTTAAATAAATAAGCGCAAAATCTAAAAATCAAAAGTAAAAAAAAAATTCTCTCATAACCTTTAAGTTTAAGCCAAAAGCTATTTTCTCACAGTTTTTATGCAAATAAATTTTTTTGCAACCAATCTGATTTTTGAGACCCTCACTTCATCAATTTCGACAATCCAAACCCCCGTTTGGGTTGAAACCAAACGTAATCATAATGTTGGAAATTCGTCACACTCCTTAAATTTGGTGTCTATAAAGTATAAAATGGTTTGGAATTGGGAAAATCAATAAAAAAAAAAGTTTAATACCTTGGCTTTTCAAAAAATATCCTTGATAAATATTTGAAATCAATTAATTTTTCATATTTATTTGAGATTACTCCCTCATCCCTATATATAAAAGTATTCTAAAACTTTTTTTATCCCTAAATATAAGAGGTTGTTAGCATATTTTTAATGAATGAATCATTATACCCTTATTAAATTAAAAAGAGAAAAAAATAAATACTCTCATTAATTTACTTTGCAAACAGAGATTCATTTTTATTTATGATAATTAGAAATAAAATTAAAATGTCGCTGTTCTTTTAATTAGATAATTAATTTTTATTAGTTTGCATGATTCG